TATATATACTTACATTTAAGGATTTCTGGCACTGTTGCCTTTCGGTTTCTGTGACTGTGGGGTGTAACATTACATTCCGATTTCCGGTATGCTCTATACTTTTTCGCATTTACGAATGCGACGTGATCCATGTAAGTATATGCTTCTCTATCCTCCACTTTAAGCTAATCACGTTTGCGGTGAACTTTTGGTCTGCCGGCGCTCATCGTGCCCTGTTCCTACGACACGAGGGCTATTTAGGAGCAATCGGAGCTTTTATTAAAGCAGCGAATGATTCGGACGAATCAAAAACTGTATGGTCCGAGAATTACGTTGCTGGTTCGCGTGAAGCTGTTGGAAAATTTCGAATTCGTTGTCGGGAAAATAGTTTGACTCTGATCGATGATGGTCAGCTCGGTCCTCCTAGTCCGGCTCATCTGAATACGAATTTCGAGAGTCCTTCTCATCGTAATTTCGATCTACCAGAGATACCTGAATCGGAATTCAATGGTTTATCGATCGAGGTGAATGAAGATGATGGAAGTGGTAAGGCGGAGAGAAAAACCCGCATTCGCCATTCCTTATCGTTGCGACGTATCCCAATGGATTCTAGCTACCTTGAACTGGATCGCGTGCTGGGTCACTCATTAGAGCCATTACCCCTATTAGAACACCCGACTCGCTACACTCCGGACACGTGGGACCTTACGCAAGACGAGGAAGCCCGTACATACTGGCTTGCCTGTTTGGAGGTAGGTTTTTCCTTTTCATATTTATTTTCTTGATTCTCTTCTCTCAACTCTCACCCGCTCCTTTGTAAACCGCCCGATTCGATTTCTGCCCGAGTGTCAAACTTCAGACGTACTGGAGCGACAGAACTTTTATTCATCGGGATCGAGCTTTCTAATTGAATAATATGTATTCTTTTGCCTCCATATGTCTACCAGCACATCCAATTTCATTTTTCCTGTAAAAAAGTCGTCCAGCTGTCAGGTCACCTAAAAGAGCACGAGGGCTGATATACGGCAAAGTCGCCCAAGCCTAGACAGGGTCAGTCGAGTTGCCGGGAATAGGTTCAAACCACGAAACACAAGCTGTAAGATTGAAGTGGGTTTTGTGTGGCGCTCGGTGGTGACATGTTCTAACTATCCTTCCACCTTTAATCCTACCCTTGCCGAGTGTCAAACTTCAGACGTACTGGAGCGACAGAACTTTTATTCATCGGGATCGAGCTTTCTAATTGAATAATATGTATTCTTTTGCCTCCATATGTCTACCAGCACATCCAATTTCATTTTTCCTGTAAAAAAGTCGTCCAGCTGTCAGGTCACCTAAAAGAGCACGAGGGCTGATATACGGCAAAGTCGCCCAAGCCTAGACAGGGTCAGTCGAGTTGCCGGGAATAGGTTCAAACCACGAAACACAAGCTGTAAGATTGAAGTGGGTTTTGTGTGGCGCTCGGTGGTGACATGTTCTAACTATCCTTCCACCTTTAATCCTACCCTTGAATATGATCGAATCCGCTTGTTTTTTTTTAGATTTCATTCTTGGACTTTTTCTCATGTTGTGGAGGCCTAGGATTATGGTCTGACATGTCTCGCTGTATAGTTCCTTCAGAAGTCTAATCCGCTGTGTTTATTACGTAGTATTTCGATGGTACCGCTAGTTTTCGGTTTCACAGTACCCCCCTCATTGAACGAAAATGCATTCTTGCACTATTCGAACTGAGAGCGAGTAGTGCAACTTTTCTATGCTATACTATCCATCGAAACTGTCGATTTGCTGGCTCTGTAGTGCATATTTGTCACAGCCACATCATATACCCGAAGGTCCTGACTTTACACCTGTCGGTTCCTTCTCTAAGCAATGCGGTAAAGGGTTGCAAACATTTAGTTTGCAGTGTATCTTTTTTGCTGTCCGCCCTACAAGCGCACTGATTGTGTTTCCTCGACCAGTGACAAATTGCTAAGCTTGGTGGATAAGTAGGTGACCAACCGGAGCCGCTCGTATTTCGTAACACTACCAAGTGCGCGCTCATGTAAAGCTTTGGACGTTGTTCATTAAAGAGCTCCGTATACGAATAGCAACATGTGTCGCAATATAAGTTCTGTCACGACAGCAAAGTGCTGGGTCGTTGGTTTTTCATCTCCATATCCTTCAAGTTTCTTTCATTTCCCTCTATTTTCTGCTCTCCACTAAACATACGTGAAACAGCGCGGTGTTGAAAGGCATCGAGTAAAAGCGGAGGAAAGTCAATGCGAAACCATGCCGGATGCGTCAGAGCGATCTCATCAATACGCTGATCGCTATATTGGATATCTTCACGAGCTCGGTAAAAATCCAAGTAGCTCGGGTGCTCTGACAGTCCGCAGTCTGTTGTCCGCTCAGCAACATTTTCTTCGGGAATTCGGCTTTGGTGACCCTTTTTGTATCCAGAAAAAGGTGAGATACCTGAAGTTACCTTCTTCGCAACCTTGTTATTCGTCTGGCATAATATACTGCACGTGTCGTATTTGACTCCAGTAAACAGGTCCATACTAGTGGTTCATTTCGGTTCGCCTGTTTTCTAATGTCATTCCAGCGCTGGGCACGGTGGAGCCTCTAATATATATTCTGTGTGGATCTGTGTCAGACTCTTTGATTCTGTCCTCGGTATGCGATCAAGCTGAATGTACTGAGAGCATGCAACCAGTCACGTCTAACTTGTTTTGACATGTAGGAGAATATACGTGTCTAACATATCTCCATTGTCCGTTGTCCATTGTCACCTTGCTTTCCCAGGGGCCGGATGCGGTTGCCGATGAAGTTATAAGGGATTGCAATTGAACGCAGGGTATCCTATTTTAGGGGCGGTTTGTAAATGGAATCGACCTGCACAGCTTCCACAACCAAAGTTGTTCAAGTGTAAATTATCCCAATATTTCTATAAAATCAACCTCCTTTTTTGCTCTTCATTTTCAAAGCTAGAAAATCATTCAGCCCTCCAAGAATTTCCCTCGTTCCTCAAGCAGCTATCCCAGCTGTCATGGGCCGATAGGCAGATGTCGTTGGTTCGGGCTCTGCTCGGTGGTAACGTCTTCGATTGGGGCGCAGAAGAAACGGTAAAGTTTTTCCGTGAAGCCCGAACGGATAAGTTTGGTGTACCCAATATGGAGGTGACGTTGTCCAAAATTCCGGTTAGTGTTTTCCTTTGTGCATCTTCAGGTGGTGCGTTTGTATATGGTAGCTCGGATACGTTTATTGCTTGTGGATCGGGTGGTCGTTGCTTTGCTCGCTGAGCTTAACAATTAGCTTACAAGTTAATACTTGTTGTTTTCAATAAAGGTTGCTCCTCTTCGTCGTACTACCTTGCTTAGCTACTGCAGACGTTCCGGTCCTTTTTCTCAAACGGGCTTTGGTTAACTATTGACTGCTATTCTCCCTTATTTCCTAATGCCGTTTGCCGCATTTATACTCATGAATCTGACAGTCCGTCTGTCTTTCTGCCTTGCTAGTGCCCAAGCTCGTGGATGTTTAGTTGGTGGTCTTAGGTTACGCTACGTGAGATGACGCAATTCACGGAGGTACTACTGTAGTTTTCGTGTCGAGGCTTACTGGCATATCCAACCCACCACATGTTTTGAGCATACAGTACCCGAAATTGTTGACAATGTGTACGAAGTGCTGGTAGCCCGGGTGCGTTCACTGGTTGTGAATCAGACGACTGTTGGTTTGTTTACCGAGCGTGGCAGCTATCTTGGTAAACAGAGCAGCAGCCTGTCTGTAGGACCTCTGTTTTCAACGCTTTGGAACTCGGTCGGTTACTTACTGGTCCGACCAGAAAACGATGCTCTTTTTGTGTCGGTGAGCAACTTCAACAACAATCCAACCACTCCAAATATGATGAAATCTCATAGGGATGTAAATATGATATTACTCCGCGGCGAAGTTGTTTATCAGTAAATACCAAATAAGCAGTCGCTTATTGTTGGATAAGAAAGCAAACGTCCGATATGCACATGGTTTTCAAAAAGTGAACATTCGCACACGCCTTGAACTTTCATGGATATTCATTGACTACCATGCCGTTGTAAACGAACACTGCGAAGCAGTTTCACAACTTCCGTAACAAACTTCACCTTCCGTTAGACGCAGGGCGGAGCTTTGAGAAAACCGGACTGTTCGCATGCCTCATCAATAGTGTCTTCCGTTACATGGGTAGCATTAATCTTTACTTGAACGTTTTGATGAGTGCCTTTCACACTACGAGTTAGATCGTCATGCTAAGTTCCGTACCTTATTCTGTTTGCGTCGCCTTTTTCTGACAGCTTCGTTTATCCATATAGTACTCGTGATGTTCCTATAGTTTCCAGTTGTAGTTTCTTGGTACTGTTTGTTGAAACCTTCCCATTTAATACCAAAAGCATTGTTTGTTTGGTTTGCTCGCTCCCCTAGCCTCGACCTTGGCTGGTAGATGACTACGACAAGTGGATCGAAGCCATTCGGTCTGACAAACAAGCCTATCGTTGTGTACTTATATTTTGTGATAACAGTGGTCCAGACGTCATACTGGGTGTCCTTCCATTGGCTTTGGAATTTATCAGCCGAGGAAGTAAGGTGATCCTAGCAGCTAATTCAGGTAAGCGGTTTCCGAACCTCGGGCCCTGATGTTTTGAATGGGTAAATGTTCAAATGTATTTGACCAAGTTTTCCGTCCAACATAACATCTCACGAAATGCCCACATGTAAATCCGGGATTTATGCAGCCGAAGGCTAACAGTTCCATCTGATTGACCAATCTGTCATAATCTTTGTTCCAAGGGTTAGCCCTAACGCCTCATTGTCAAGTTTCCCTTCAATCTAAAGAGAAACAAAAAACGAGAAAGATGTGGGCCTTATTACTAAGCTATTAGACACGTCTGAAAGTACCTATACTTCCGACCTCCCAGTCAAACTATTCGCTTAAAATCCCCCAACACGAGGGGGATTGATCTCGTTCGCGGTTTGCATCTTGAAATATCCCCAGCCAACTATAGGGAACTTCACAGGGATTGTCTCCTACTTGTTCCTCTCAAGTCAACATCCTCCACCCTTTGGTTGGCGCCAATCCGAAGGACTTTTCTCAGTGTGTGTTGAATCGATCTGTGCGGCAGTCCCATGCCACCACAATATGGACTGACTACAGAGTAAAAGTAACCCGTACTGGAGACGAGCCCGTTGAGCGACACGACTGCTGTAGAGGTACCATTTTAAGGCAGCCGCGTGTATCTCTTCGATTTAACCCACGCCCAAATTGCACCTGACCGTTCTTAAACAGGGCGAACTCTTCGTATGCCTACCAGTACTTGTAGTGCGAAAACAATATGCCCCCGTATGCCCTGAATGGACGTCGTGCCTGCAACATAATATTTCCATCACAGCCACTAGAATAGGCCAATTCAAGCACGTAAACATCTCTGCTGCGTGAATGACTATGTTTGCCAAAACGCCCTTGCTATATATAATATGAATAGCGAAGCTTGCAATCATTTATGACATTCGCCTTCTGGAACTTTATGTATTAGAGTTGGAGTGTTGTTGTGTGAAGCCCTGGCTACCACATTCTACGTTTTCTGCAGCTCCGGCCATAAATGATGTTACTTTCGAGGAACTGGAAATACTTCTACGCCTTATTGCTGCTCATGAACCATCCGTGGCGCGAGCTCTGGACACTAAACATCTGTTGGTCACGGAGAATGGGCAAATCGGACCGTGTTTGGATCTACGATTGACAGCGAGTACTTTGGTGCAGTTGATCAAACGTGAACAGGTAATAACGTTTCCTGTTTTTGTTCAGGGTTCGTTATTTAACATTTTCTCGCGCGCCAAAGGTCGTAGCGGTTCTTGAGTTGCTAAAATAAAGCAGTACATCACTTTGAATCAATTAGGTTGGTTTTTCGCAAGAAACTGTTGAGTCTTGAGCCTTGATACTTGTTATTCAGAGTGACTCGCCCTGTGTGTTAAATGGAGCTTACTGGGGAGAATGGATTTTTGAAGCAATGTTTTTGGTACTCACGATCAAGTGCACACATGTTGTGTAGCATTACACACCCTCATACCTATCAATGTTGTACCGCTGAATTCCACCGACATTTCATCCACACGGGAACAGCGGACTCAAAGAAGGGCTGGGACGCCCAAACCCTTTTCAGTATATGGTGAACGGGCTGGTTTCACCAGCGGGTTTTGTCTGTAATTATTGCTCTGAATCGGTCAGTTCGCTTAATCTATATTCTGCATACACTGACCGCCAAGAAATGAACATAGCCTGCTCGCCATTGTAATGTACTGAAAATGGTCTGCCCGTTCTTACCGGGATCTGAGCATGTATCTGGTTGTTCACTCTGGCCACTTTACTGAAGCTCTTCTGTGACGTTACCATGCCAGACAAGCATTGCCCGTAATTATGGATTACGGGCCTTAAAATACCACAGTACGTCTATCAAACTCTGTTCGACTGCCTCAACCCAGTCATTGTGTCGTTTCACGTCGTGCTGTCTAACTCTGCTGTGATCGCTCTCCAAAAGCTCAGCTGTTCCTTTCACTCCGTAATGAAGGCCGGAGTATGTACCTGTTGAACCGCCCTGCATGCGGCTCCAACTTTGTTCAATTTATCTGACTACAACTTGTACGGATGGATGGTGTTCCGAACCAGTGACATTTAGTCAACCACCTCTTCAGCTCGAAATACTTAACGGCCAAAATGAAGCTGCGCAAGTGAGACATCTGAATGCTGGTTTTTGCGGATGACTGCGCTTTATATGCACGTTCGAAAGTGGAACTGTGGCGAATAACCAAAACATTTGCTCCGATAGCATCTCCCTATCGTTCATACGTGTGGCTTTTTTCAACCCGTCCACGGATTTAAACGGCAGGCGTCCGCTGTACAGTTTACCGTGAAGTTTTCGGGTACCTCAGCTGCAGCCTACCCACAGAAGTGATAATTGTTTCGCTGCACTGGATTCTATCGCCCACTTAAGCGTGTTCGAAGTCACCATGAAACTCGTTGCTAAAAATACAGCCATGGGACATCGGCGGTCGCGTGGTCTTGTCAGTCCGGCCGTTTTGCTGAATACAGAAAGATATCTAAGAAAAAGGATGCCGCTACTGACGTGTTCCTTTGATTACCACATGCTCCTTCTCTCCTGTCTCACTACGTTGTGATTACACGTCTAACAAATCTCAGCACTAGACCTGACCACTCTATTTCCTTACATCACGCTGAGCTTCTACGCGTCCGTCTTTAGTGAACAATCTTAAATACCTCGAAATCAGTTTTCAAACCCGTCTTCTTAGCTGCTTGAAGCAATGAAGCAAACAGAACAACAGGCGGCTGCTGTTCGTACGCTGAATCCAGGACTCAATTACTGTAATTGAACTGATTGCGCCCTAGCTATTTTTCGCTTTTGGCTGTGCAGCCGTTTTGGTTTGCAGGCCTCTTCCGTCGGATACACCGGGTTCGGTACTGTGTTGAACCGTTCAGCCGATGCTTGGATACTTGTTGATACGCACCCTTGTGTGGTCCGTTTGGGAGCGCCTCTGAAAGAATGTCGAGAAAGAGAGGTCCAATACTCCTTGTTTATTGTATCTGTCTCAATATCGTGGGAAGCAGTGATCCAGGATTTTCTTGTAGCCATTTCATTCCTCTTCAAGAGGATGTCGCCGTAAAGCAGTAAGTCATCCCGATGGACTGTAGCTTTGAATCAGTCAGAGACAGTTATTGTACGCAGTGCAACTTCTCAGACATCGCTCTGGCCGCTGATGACATGGACGCACAGGTCGGTAGGGTTAACACTGCCGAGTCTTAGTTGGGTAAGTCGTCCTAGATTGTACACAAACTCAGGAATAATGGGGAGTGCTTACTGCGGATGTGTACTGATCACAGACTGCTCGTTTGTAACACCAGAAACAACAGAAGGCGTTTCAATACGTGTTACCCTCCAGAGAACTACCCCCGAACCCTGATGGACCACATTAATTGCCGATTGCGAGACCCGATCACTTCCTGACACTCCTTCTGGACTACTTGTTGGGACTTCTGTGTGTTGCTCCTGTTCACTAAGCTTCTCTGGTTCACGCAGAATGCACACATCGTGTGGCAACTGGGAAGCTCGTGAACCCCAAAATCAAGCAGATGTATCAAAACCTACTTCCTTAAGGACTACCTGCTGATCCGATGTAATATACTATCACTAGGACGAGATATCCGAAATTGTGCCGAGTGCCCATGTACCAGCTGGTCTTTTCCAAGTATTGGGACTCTGATAGGGTCGTGGCTCTGCGGAAAGCCTGCTAACAAACTCCTTGCGTCCCGTACCACAACTCCGCTTGACCTGGTACCAGGTAAATCTGAGTGTCCAAGAAGACCGAGAAGCCTGGTGGATCCAGGTCGATGTGGAAAAAATGAAAAACGAAGGAAGTGTTTGCAGGTTGTTTCATTAGCTCCTCTAGAGAGATCCTCGAGGGTCATTGGAACTGTAAAGGACCATAATGACTCTCTGGTTCCAAGCAAAGAATAATGTTTAGACCATGGGGCAGAATAGCTTGAATAGCAATTCATTTGGCCAACTGCTAGTTCATATTCACGCGATCGGCCTTTGACAGAAACATGGATTGTAGTCATTAAGTGCCCTTCAGCTTCAGTAATGTTCGAGTGTCTCCATATTCCTAGTCCTGACGACCTTCCAAACTGGTTTGTTTGAGAACGGCGGCGAATTCCTCCTTCAGTGGTTTTCTAACCTGTTTAGGTCTATCTTAGATAGAGAGACCATCCCAGACAAGGAGCAAATGATGGTGGCATTCGTCTTCGATGAAGCTAGCCGCAGTGAATGAAGTGACTACATTGATGTCAGTTTCACTTCATCGCAACAAGACTTCTGGTATCACTGGTTCTTCGTCGCCTCGGCGGCACGCAACACCCTAAACCATGAGCATCTATCAGGATTTCGATCAAATGGAGGTTGCATTGACCAACTCTTCACAATTTGTTGGGTGCCGGATCAGCGCCATGTGTACACACCACACACAGTGAGAAGGATGTTGGAAAATGTTGTACTCGAATCATGCTGCTGATCATGCTGCATGGCGCGATGCATTCGATTATGCAAATTTGCTCTGAATCTCGAAGACCTGAATCATGGTTTCCAATTTGCTTTACTTATGGTATCAAACAAGCATATCACTGAGTAACATGGGGCGTGTGTATCGGGCCAAAGTTGGGGTTATGTTTTTGTATGGTTGTTGGACATGACATCTGATAGCCTCCTCCCAAGTGAGGCAAACTTCAAGTGGACGCGTGAAAGAGCTTACATAGAGTTTATTTTCTTGTTGCGGTCCGCCTATCGTCCGTCCGAAACGGCTAATGCCGTTATCTTAAGATGCGATTAGTCGGATACAGTGAGCTTTTGTCCAGATTATCTGACAGCCTTTGAAGGTTTGGGCACTTCGGAATACGTACTGTACTAGATATCTTCTTCATTCCCCTATATTTTTTTAAATTCAGGGCTTCAAGTACAAGTAAATAAACTTTGTGGTTTCTCGGTTGTGAAACGTCTTCTTGACTACTAATGCTGTTGCCCGTGATTTTTTCTCATATTGTTGATGGAGACTGTATGTGCTAAAGCTCTGACCAGTCGACTTAAGGAGGCCCCGAACATTCCGAATTCTCTTATAATGTTCGTTGTCTCCTTTGGTTATCTGTATTGAGATCTTCCTCAATTTTGGTCATCGCAGTGAACAGGTTACAGCGGGGATACCGTATTGTGAACGGAATAGTACCTAAAAAAATCAGGATCCTCAAATTTCATGAGGTTGGGTCCTAAACGCTTCCCGATTTTTATTGGGGACACACTTCTATCCCTAATACACCCATGTGCAACCGCAAGAGGACTGTCGGAGTGGTTAGACAGCGCCGCGATCGTGGGAGTAGCATTCAAGGAATGATCTTAACCACCCGGTCCTTTGGAACTACTTCCTGCTGTTGCCGTTGATGCTTGGTAATCTGGTCTCAGCCAACCATTGTGCCTGACACCTGTTTTCGGCTTTACTCGTTTCCTCGAAACACATCCGTCTTTACTGAGGCGTTGGTTGTTTATCATACACCTGTGGTTGAAACCATCCAGAGGCTGTCAAACAATTACTTGGCAGCGAAGTATAAAAGCCATTACCAGCAAACTCAGCTACGCTGGTCATTGCCGTCTTCCTGGATGGAGACCCCGAGACGGGCCACATCAATGGTTGGACACATTATCAGACATGGCCCAGTCGCACCCTCAGTGGCGCCCGTGCATACAAGCTATTGCCTTCAAAACATAGCTCTCTTCCCAATTCCCTCACTTAACAGTCCACTGACAGTTCTGTATTTACCCACCAATATATCAGCCTCCAATGCGCAGCTACCAGCCCAACCTCCCAAATCGTCGGTGAACAAAACTATGGCAGCTACAAGCACTGTACGACAAGTACGCGGTTCTTACAGCTGACAATGAGGATGACGACGAAGCACCTGAAGCACTGACTAAGGGAAACCGATCATTTTACATAGAGTCCCCAACTAATTTAGGCAGTTCAGGTGTTTCGGTTCTCTGTTTATAAAACGCGATTTCGACGTCGTTTAAGTCACAGTGGAGGGTTTTTCATGATTTAGGATGTCGTGCGTACTGGTTATATCAAACGTGGAAAGCACTGTTGATTTCAACTTTAAACACACTAGAATCGCCTCCTTCCTTGCTGATCTGGGTACCGATGTTCCACGCCACAACGCCTGAGTCCACGCTGTCAGATTAACGCGGTCACCGATACTATGAAGAATACTGTCCCGTACAAAGTTGTGTTCATCAACTCAACAGATAATTTATAAATCTTAGGAACGAGGTCGGCATACCGCTAGAACAGGTTCTCCGACATTTTAGGTGAACAAATGAAAAAGCATTCCTTTATGTGTGGAAGGAGTTGAGGTCGAAAATTTTGCAAAACTTTTGCGTTTAACAGGCGACATTTATTAAATCAACCAGGTCTAGCGACTTAAGTGTGTCAATAAAATCCTAAAACCGGCGACAGGCTGCAAATTGTTCAACTCAATAAAACATTCAGATAGAAATAGCTGCAAACCTCATTGAAGTATGTCAAGTTTCCTACAAATTCCATGAGGTTGCCCATCATTATTTTTATTCGGAAAACACACAGTGTCGGTCACACATTTTTCAAATAATCTGATACGTTTTCAACTATCATTTGATCACACATTGCTTGTCCACACTAGTCCTTATGCATGTCAGACACCTTGTAGTGCATATTCCGTCCGTTGAGAACTGGGGCAATTTCTTGCCTCAGAGATGGAAACTGATTAGGTGTTTCCACTGAAGACACCAACTCCACACTCGATCCTGAGGCAAAGAATCGTTTCCAGTGTCTGAACTACTGAACATCAACCAATGGTATGAAACCCATTGATGAACCATCGCTCGTGTTTTGGTTTTATCTGGGTTTTTCCAACGCCCCTGTTTTTGTACGATTTTGCACTATTTACCTTGATTGTACTCTGAGTGAACTGTTCTAGGTGCGTTCTTCATTAAATATAGCACCATTGCTCTACTGCGTTTATTCTCTTCAAAAAAAGGTTGATCTCATTGTGATTGAGGGAATGGGACGGGCGGTTCATACCAATCTGTATGCACGGTTCCGTGTGGACAGTTTGAAAGTTGCTGTGATCAAGAATGCCTGGCTCGCGCGACGACTTGGAGGTGAATTGTACGGAGTTTTGTTCAAATTTGAGCGTGGCTCAGAAAACCAGTTGTCAACTGAGACACGAGAGAACACACCGACGCTGAATCAGAGACCGGACACCATTTTTACTGATCAGGCCGGTGATACGATTTGATCCGTATTTGTATCTTTATATTTCTCGATTTTTCTATCTAGTAATATTGCGGGAGGTCAGAATTTTCATTGCACTGCTCTCCATGACCTGCTCGCAAGCATTCTTCCGAACATTAATTGGTTGTTCCAGGCTGCTATTAGCAGTGCTGTTCTTTTCATTCCTTTCTGTATCCAATTCCAAAAAGGCTATTTTATGACACTTGGATTTCTCCTACGTTGGTACTGGCTGAAGGGAACTGTAAGACAGTACTCCATAACCTGGAAAATATTTCTATGCCTTTCCCATTTTCCGATATCTTGACATGTTTCACTCGATGTCTCGATACAATTTTGCGCTGATTTGGTAGAAATCCGAAAGTGTCGGAAAAGTGGTGGAAAAGAGCCTGAGGAAGTTAAGCAATGACTTGGCAGCCAAGTATGGAAGCCATTGCCAGCGAACGCAGGTGCACTGGCCATCGCCGTCTCCCCCTCAATCGGGACCTCAATTCTCAGAGGCATTGTCAGACATGGCCCGCTCAACGGTACGCATGCATTCAAGTTGTTTCCTCGATGCATAGCTTTCCCTCGCAGTTTTCCCACCGAAAAGTCCACTGACACCCTTGTATTGGCTCACCAACTATCAACTACAGCCTCCATGTCTCCGAATCATTGGTGAACAAAACCAGTGGCAGCTAAATATGATGTTTGGAATTCCAAAAGATTTCTCGATGTCGAGTCAACTTATCCCAAGGAATATCTGACCGTGGCGAATAAAATGTAGAGTTCCCTATTTCTTGACACATTTTAACTAGACATCGGCTGATATTCAGATTTCTGTCAGGTGGTCTCCAATTTTTTTTCAAGGCTTCTTTTAAAGAATGTTGGGCCGTTTTGATATGCAATAGTTATGTAGGACTATTTCCATCCTTTAAGTTTTTCTTTCAATCATAGCTTCATGTTTGCTGCAACCGGCCGATCAACAAAACAGGAACCGTCAATCAGTCGATTTTAAACTAAGACGACGGTGGTCCCTAAAGATCAGTCATTGTTGGTGCATTACAACAGAGCCTATCTGCATTACCAGCTGATCGCAGAATCATTAGATCAGCTGCTTTATGACCTATTCGCAGCGCTATTCGTATGTATGTCTTCTATCAGAGAAAGAAGACGTTACGTGACCGTAGCGTTATATGCCAGTTGTGTGCTCAGTGTCATTGGCTACTTCGAACCGTAATATACCCCGTTCTTTTCCGCTTGCCGGATTTTAAGTAGGAACTCGTCCACGCTTAGCGGATCCAGAGCTTTCTTTTGCGACCAGACGAGCATCATTTACACTTATCCCCTTCTCAAATTTCAAATCAGGAATATAAGTACCCAAAGTGTGACCGAGCGTTCACCAACCTGAGCTGAGACCAGACTGATTAAATACGTGACGAATAAAACTGCCATTATCCTGTTCAGTCATTGTTGAACAGTTACCATTTTATCAAGTATCCTACATTTTCGTTCCTTACCGGGTGCTGGTAGGTTTTTACTTTGTTTTGCGTGGACATCTGCGTCTGTTCGTGCGCTGTATTGTGATGATTAGAACATGAGAGTGGACGGGAGCGGGTTTCGCACTCTCAGCGATGAATGGGGATAGAAATGCTTCTTATGAAGGGAAAAACTCATAACTATACGTGCTTTGAAAACCAGTCTGCACTCTGAAATGAGTTTGCATTAAGCGTACAGAGTGTTTACGGAGAGCACCCATTTTGAGGTGCTCAGATATGAGTACCTTTTTAGAACTTTCGTAGGTAATGAAAGCATACTCTGGTCGGTTATATGATGTGTTAGTTGACTCGCAACCGACGAAAACCAACTGAAAAAGAAGTTAGTGCTAAGTAGTGTAGATATACCCTCATAGTCATTCTGAGCAGGATAACTGAGAGAGAAGTACGAATCCTCAAGCAGAAGTACGTCAGAACAGGATGTGTCCTTATATACAGCGTTGCGAACTAGTGTAAACTTCAAAAAGAGGTATCATGAGACCATCCCAAAGTTGTCTGACAAAGCGCTCGTAACAGCCGTCCACATAAACCGATCCTATATCATTTGAATCGTCACATGGAAGCTCGCCTTACTATGGCTTAATAGCACCTCAGATTACCGTGTCTGTCCGTCTAGCTCTCCCATTTTTAGGGAGATATTATTGACTGACATTCTTTTTTGAGAAATCGTATTGAAATTCACTCTCCCTTTTAGTCATATATATATATATATATATATATATATNTTT